CCAACCCAGGTGCAGGACCCTGCACTTGGCCTTGTTAAATCTCATGAGGTTCACATGGGCCCACTTCTCAAGCTTGTCCAGGTCCCTCTGGATGGCATCCCGTCCCTCTGGCGTGTCGACCGCACCACTCAGCTTGGTGTCATCTGCAAACTTGCTGAGGGTGCACTTGATCCCACTGTCTATGTCATTGATGAAGATATTAAACAGTACCGGTCCCAATATGGACCCCTGCGGGACGCCACTCGTCACCAATCTCCATCTGGACATTGAGCTGTTGACCACTACCCTCTGGATGCGACCATCTAATCAATTCCTCACCCACCGTATAGTCCACCCATCTCAAATCCATCTCTCCAGTTTAGAGAGAAGGATGTTGTGGGGGACCGTGTCAAAGGCCTTACAGAGGTCCAGACAAACGACATCTGTAGCCCTTCCCATGTCCACTGATATAGTCACTCCATCATAGAAGGCCACTAGGTTAGTCAGGCAGGACTTCATCCTTCCTTTCAAGTCAGGAGGGATGCACCTGCCTTTGCTGACTAGGAGATAAGTGCTGAGCAGTCTGGGCTCCCTGGGCTGCAGTGGAGACAGAGTCCTCCGGTTGTATTGACTGGGGTGATGGCTCAGCCATCTCACCTACCTGAGACAATAACCTTGGGCTAAGGCAAACTGCCTCCTTGAATTGAGCTTTTTAGGATTATTTCTTAACCTCCCTTCCAGAACAGTTTCTAGTTTTCATTTTGCAACACTTTCCCGTGACAGCATGATTGCTAATTCAGGTTGTGAGAGTCTGCTTGGTCTTTAAAACACAGGATAGGATTCAGTTTCAGGTTAAGGCATCAGATTTAGGCATCTACTTATAAACGTTTATATGTAAGTTATACATCTAAATTTCTGTCATGAGTGAGGAATAAACCAGGTGTCAAAGTTAAGTCCAGAAGGCTACTCAGGGTCTCAGGAACAGCTGAGAAGTTGAGATAGCTAAAGTTATCACCTACTAGCTGGTCATCTGAATCGCCCTTTAGAGTCCATTGACTGTATCAACTAGGCATCCACATAATTTGCGCAGCCGTAGCAGTCTGGTACCACTTGAGACATCCCGGTGTGACCTGTCATTTGTCCAATTTTCATTCCAGAGGAGCACAAGCCCTCCAACATCCCTGCATCAAATGTGTCAGCCGCCTTCAGATGTCTCGGATACCCTACAGCATATCAAGTGACATTTATTAGTGTCTTCCACAGCACTATTAATGTAGGCATTCTGCTGCTCTCCTTTTACTGCACGAAGACTCAGGATCCAGCAACTGTGACCATATACTACTCGGAAACTTTCTTGTCATGGTAAAGCCTTAAAACATCTTAGACAATACTGCATAAAGACAGAACATGAACAGTAGGAGCTATAGTGATGAGAATGCCGTAAGATCCTAGATATACGTTAAGGTGGTTGGACATATTTAATTTGTTAGATGTGGTCTGTGTGCTGAATTTTGGCTTTATTGCAGGAAAAGGATACAGGTCTATGGATATTTGTCCAAAAGAGTAGATCTGTGTCATAATGAGAGTGTCTGAAGGATTGTTTCACTCCAGAAGTCTGTTGCGTGTTTCTTCCCATGTTAAGAAAGGATATCGAGAAGTGGGATTTTAAGACAGTCTTTTGATCTAACATTGAATTTTGATTTTCTAAAGACGGTAGTAACTCTGTTGGGCATTAAAGTGTGTATAAATTAGGCATTCTTCTGTTAAATCTGTGTAATTAGACTGCAACCAACGTGAACAGGGGTTCAGCTAAATGTACCATGAGAAAACTTTCTCAACATTTTCTCATTTCTCTGGTCACCACAATAGATAATACAAAATGGATGGTATGTTGTGTCTGGTACATTATTTTCCATGGCAGATTCTCTCCCCTTCAGGGAGAAATACAAGCTCTTGTTACACTTACCTTGCAACAGATTTGAGTTGACCTTGTTACTATTTCTTATCTTGACAGTTAAACCACTGGAAAAATAATGGCTAGGGAAAACCAAAGTGTAGTGACAGAATTCATCTTTCAAGGCCTTTCCTCCCAGCCAAGGACACAGACTGTTCTTTTCACAGTGTTCCTGGTTTTTTATCTGTTCACAATTTTTGGGAACATCATGATCATTACAGTGATCAGAGCTGATTGCCAGTTGCAGGCACCCATGTACTTTTTCCTTGCCAACCTGTCCTTCTTAGATATCTGCTATGTCTCCAGCAACATCCCCCAGATGCTGGTGAACCTCTTCACCAAGAAAAGGACCATCTCCTTCTCTGGATGTGCTGCTCAGATGTATTTCTCTCTGGCTTTTGGCATGACAGAGTGTGTTCTGCTTGGGGTCATGGCCTATGATCGATACATGGCAATATGTCACCCTTTGCTGTACACCACTGTCATGAACAGGAAGGTTTGCATTCACATGGTCATGGCTTCCTGGACCAGCAGCCTGCTGAGCTCCATGGTCATCAACAGCCTCACCTTGCGGCTGCCCTTCTGCGGGCCTGACATCTTGAACCATTACTTCTGCGAAGTGCCAGCAGTGCTGGCCTTGGCCTGTGCCGACACTGCCCTCATGGAGTTGGTCATCTTCATCTTCAGCATCCTCATAGTCTTCATCCCCTTTCTTCTGATCATCACCTCCTACGCCCATATCCTTTTCGCCATCTTGAAGATTCAGTCTGCACATGTGCAATCCAAGGCCTTCTCCACCTGTGGATCCCACCTGACGGTGGTAACCATATTCTATGGGACAGCCATCTGCATGTACATGAATCCTAAGTCAAGGCCTCCACAGGACAGGGACAAAGTGGTTGCAGTGTTTTACACCATTGTAGCCCCAATGCTGAACCCCCTCATCTACAGCCTCAGGAACAAGGACATGAAGCGTGCCCTGAGAAGGGCAATGAATAGACCCAAATCCCTGTTTATTTAAAGGCTTTCCAGGGGTTGGTAGTATTGCATTTAGTTCTGAGTTGAAACAAAACTCAAATGTGATTATTTCTCTACCTGCAATTGCCCTAGACTTATTTTTACAAAGACTGAGATGAAATCATAGATGTGCTAAATTCAACAGCACCTAAACAAAAGGACTTGCATACAAATAGCTTTCTAAATAACATTTGGGATTTGGCCTAAAACCTGGAAGCTAAATAAAGACATTGTGACTTCAGCCTGCCTCACTCTGGCAATTCATTTAAAACAGAATTGGAAAATGCCAATAGCATCATGACAAGAAAGAAAAAAAGAAAAAAGAAAAAATATTTAAAGAACTGTGGGAAAATTTAAGTGCTTTATATAAAGCTTAAAATGTATTTTGCTTCTGAAGGGTTTCATAATTAACTTCAGAGCATACAAACATTTAAGTTATGTTGCAAACATGAGCTGCTACTGTGATTTCTCTTCAGACCTGAAGATTTCCCAACATCTGTTATGTTGGTTAGCAAACAAAACTGCCATCTTCTCCCATAAAGGGCGTAGTTGTTTGCAACTAATATTGATCCCTTTGCGCTGTGAGTATTTTCTCAACCCTGTTTCCATAACCCGCTTTGCTTCCTCTGTAACTGATTTCTGCCCCTCTTAATTCCTACTGTATTTTAGTCCAGCTCTGGGTCCTCGTCGGCCAAGATCAGTTGTTAAACTGATTTAGGTGTGTTAACAACACACCTAAAAATAACAGTTGTCCCAGATACACAAATTTGTAATTATAATTTCGTGGTGTACATTCTTTTTTTAACATTTGCCAACACTAAACAACCAACCTCAATAGGCGGGATTTGTACTGGTGTGGTTTCCTCTGCAAGCTAGCAGAAAGCGGAGTCCCAGCAGAAAGTAAAGGAAGTTTTTCTGAGCAAGATTGGTACTTCTTGTCCCTGCCTAAGGCAGATCACAGCAGCGACTAGAAAGGTGTTTTGAGGGAGGTCGGTGACCCTGCCTGGAGGTTGAAGTGTGGAAAATGCAATTAGTGAACAAATGTCGCTCATTAGCCAGTATCCCAGGCAGCAGAGGTGTGCTTACACCCGTCCTGCACAGGGAAGGACCAAACTAAGGGATAGTTTCAGCCCTGGCTCGTTATGCTGCTATCAAGCACCAACATCTGGAGGTGGCATTCATGGGTCTGAGCCTAGAAACCCACCCCAGAGAGACAGGTCTGGGCTCTCCTGCAGCTCAGAGCAGGGCACATGGCCCCAGCTGTGGCTCTTGCCTTCCTAGCAAGGGCAGGGAAAGGAGAAAGCTTATTTAGTGTTGTACCTTCAGCTACTCCCTCACTCTTATGCCATGTAAGATATAAAACATATGAGGACAAACTCCTTGCTTGGGTTTTTGGGCAGATCGCTGTCCCCTGGGGGAAGGTCACATGCCAGATGTCTGTCCCTACTGCTATATGCCACCTTTGAGGGTGGCCAGGGGAAAGGTTTGGGTCTGACATCTGGCACGGGTCCTTGCTGGGGTAGGACGTAGTGCCACTTTGGTGAACGACTCATTCTTCACAGCCCCAGCAGAGATGTGCTAGGCTGGCGGATATTCCTGCTGCTCAGCACCATCCCAAACCAAGACCCTCCAGCCACCTACCAGGAGCATTAGTTAGCCTTGAATTATGTCAGCCGAGCAAGCCCAGAATTGAGTTTGGACTTGGTGGGCTATGTACTGGGGAAGTCTGCATCTCCTGCAAAACCTCTTGGGATAGCGTAAGTGAGCCCTTGGATAGATGAAGCCTTTAGCAAGACAAAGATAAATGCAAAGATATTTAGTGCAGAGTAAGCCAGAAAAGGGGAAGTGTAGCCAGAGCCAGACACCAGCTTTTTCCTAGACCAACCCAGGCTCGAACCACACCTAAAGGACTCTTTACTTTTTTAAAATGTTCTTCCCATGACTTAAAGATAGGGAAGATAAGGCAAAGATAAAGTATCTGATTAGCGAAGGCAAACAAATGCATATGAGCTGTACATGTAGGGAGAAACAGGCGATTTCTTAACCCTTAACAAGACTAAATAAGAGGCCTTGTCTAGCAGTAGGTGGAGGCAATAGTCATAGCATGACCCACTGGAAGCCCCTCAGCAGGCCTGAACTCCATCACCAGCTAAGTCGTTAAATCTATTTCCATCACAAATTACACTTCTCCCCTTCCAAAACAAGGAATTCCCCTGGGGGCCAGTCACCCAGGAGTCATCAGCTTAACAAGCCCTTCTGGGCATCGGGAAGAAGCCTCTAATGATCTTGAAACCTTCTTAGAAAGCTCATAGTAAAGTACCTGTTCTTCCTAACAAGCCCCTGGGGGACAACTTCATAGATACCAAGGAGAAGGAAACTTTCCTCTTTGTTAAAGGCAATGAGCATGTCTAAAGCAATTTAGTTTGTCACAACTAAACTGGGAGGTTTAGATTGGATGTAAGGAAAAATTTCTTTACTGAAAGAGTGGTTAAACATTGGAACAGGCTGCCCAGGGAAGTGGTGGAGTCCCCATCCCTGGAGGTATTTAAAAGACGTGTAGATGAGGCACTTAGGGACATGGTTTAGTGGACATGGTGGTGTTGGGTTGACGGTTGGACTCAATGATCTTAGAGGTCTTTTCCAACCTCAATGATTCTATGATTCTATGAACTACTCCACACCCTGAAGTCTGCGGTTGGAGAGTTTATGGGTTGGCATACACCTTTCCAGTCCTCCACTCGGTTGGTACAGAAGTTACCACTGGAGTTTGAAGGACAACAGATCTGTGCATCACACCACCAGCAGCTGAGAGAGCAGCTGCCCCTGGCCAACAACTTCTGGTTGGCAGAAGTCACTCAGCACCTTGCAACAAGTGCTTGGGACGTCACAAAGGGTCCATCAACAGCCACAGCCATGGCAGATGATGAACCAGATTCAGGGTTCATCAAGGGGTCCAGTCAGAAGCAAAAGGAGATGTGGCTGGAGGTAAAATACAACGTACATACATTTGCCCATCCAGGAATAAAACTATCTACAGCACAGGTCCAAGGTCCATCCAGGAGGCAGATGCAGCCAGGCACATCTACAATGCGGCGTAGGGAAGGCCTGAAGGCCCCCTAAAATGGGGTTCCTAGTCCATGGGAGGGGGTGAGTGTGCATGTGGCAGGGCAAGAAGACACCAGATGAGGCTCATCAGGGCCACTACGACCTATTGTTGCCATCATGGTCCTGACCCACATGAACTACCCCCAGTTCACAGATGCTAACTGTGCTGGTGGTTCTCAGTTGCTTTCTGCTGCCTGAGGGGCTGAAGTCTGTGAGGTGGTCTCCTCCGTAGCCAGCTCTATCAGTAAAAGCATGGCTTGATCTGCAGCCATCCAAGGCTCATCCCGACATTTACCCTCCAGCTCCTTCCCCTGCACAAGTCAAAACATAGTCCTGTCTGCTGCTGCGTCGCAGGCTTGCATCTCCCTGAGACATGCTGCTGCTTAAAACCAATTCACTTTGATAGGGTATTGAATAACATTAATATGTTAAAAAGGCTAAATGTTGTGGAAAATGCTATCAGTCCTAGTGAATTCACTGTTCACGCATGCCAATGTCTTGGCAGGCTTGGGGGAGTTCATAACTTCTCATTTCAGACTGGGGAAGGGGACATTAGGACCTTATTTCTCTTAGAGAACCTCTTGGAATCGAGTGCTTGCCTGAATCACGAGTGGGGTGGTGCGTGGTGTGAGCTCCTCGATGCGACCTGGAGCTAGCCCGTGTGAGCACGGGGAGAGTCGAGAAACACCAAGCACAATGCAGGGGTCTGCACCCTGAGGTGCTCTCATGGGAGTCATGCATGAGGAGAGGCTGAGCAACAGGATGGCTGATGAAATTCAGCATATCTATATATAAAGCAATGCACAGGGGGGAATAAAAAGCATTAACTTCAGCTCAGAGCCCCAGGTTTTGTACTTCATTGCTGTTTCATATTCTGCGCTGAACTAAGCAAATGGAGAAAGTGCCTCTGGCTCTTAATAGAATCTAGAGAAGAAAACTTACTTTAAGGAAAGACTCAGAAAATGAATTTGAACAGGTCATTTAATGTGTTCTTTATATATACAGAAAAGTATATTCAGTTCAAGGGTATGAAGTTATACAGCTGCTATCCTGGAGGCTAGTGGTGATCAACAAGTAAGTTAGTGCAACATTTTATGATTCAGCCTAGAAATATTCAGATATATCATAGAATCATAGAGTGGTTTGGGTTGGAAGGGACCCTAAAGATCATCTAGTTTCAACCCCCCCCAGGCACACCTTCCACTAGACCAGGTTGCTCAAAGTCCCATCCAACCTGGCCTTGAACACTTCCAGGGATGAGGCATCCACAGCTTCTCTGGGCAACCTGTTCCAGTGCCTCCCCACCCTCATAGTGAAGAATTTCTTCCTTGTATCTAATC